ACACGCCTTCACACTACACATTCAAGAAATCTGACCTGTGGTCTATGAGTTTTTATGCATAGAAAGTGTACAGTATGACATCAAGCCCCTTTCATTGCCCATTGCCATCTGTTCCTGCAAAATCTATCTCCACAAACAATGAAAGAAGTCCTTCCTTAAAATACTATGTCCCAGGTTCCTAATTTCAGACCACAGCTGAAGATAAGTTAAGCACTGGGAAATTCTTTGGGTTTCGTCATCTTTTAAAGCCAACAAGAGAGCCCTTCAGATTCTTCTTTTTTCACTAGGTTCTTGGGTTGACTCTAAAGAGAGACCATGTGATTTTTGGAAATTTTAATCCTTTCTAACCCCTAGAGACAGGGAGGAAGAATCAATTAAGTGCCAGAAAAGTGAGCTGAAACGAATTATGTAGAGGGCTTAATAGAACCACCATGTGATGAAATATTCTCTCTCTTTTAATTTATGAAAAGCACTTCCTGGCATGTTCCACACCCACCTCCTTTGGGGCTTCTTGGTCAACCCATTCAACTGCATCACTTAGGAATTAATTTTTTTCTCCAAAGCCAAGGCTATTAGGGCTACAAGACAAAGATCAGCATCTCCATTCCATTGCTTCAAAGGGATTTCCCTCAGGAATTCCCTTCCTCCTTTACTCCAATATGATTCTAAATAATACTTACCCACCCCAGTTTTGAAACACAGTTGAACTTACCCATTTACCTTGTCATTAGAGTTTGAGAACAAGGCTACCAGCTCGCAGATGAATTTTTCAAGGAGCCTCTCCCAGACTTCACTCCTACACTGAACAATGTCTTATCCCACAGTCAGGATGTAGTTTCAAATAATGTGGAAAAAAACCCACCTATGGTGTGATCTTAGACAATCACTTACTCTCTCTGGATCTCAGTTTGTCCACATATAAGGAAATAATTAAACAGGAGGAGGAAAAAAGCAATATGAGCTAAGATGCTCATTGGAGCATTAAATATAAGGCTAAAAAAACAGAAACAACTTAGCTTCCAAAATGTTAAAACCATAACAGTATTTTACTAGCTTTGAACAATGATAAAAACAACTGGAATTTGTGTAGCATATTACTTTGTAAAATATTTACAAGTACATTGCCTAATTTGTAAACACTCTAACAAAAAGCAGGCCAATTTATGACTTTTATTCATTTTTATTTTGCAGATGAGAAAATGAAGCCTCAAATAAGCTAAGTGAGTTGCATGAGGTTATACAGGGCAGTTACTCAGACACAGCATGGTAGAATGTAACTATCATGGAGTTTGGAGTGAGGCAGGGTTGGTCTCTTATATTAGCTCTACTACCATCTAGTTTTATATTTTTTTGAAGGTTATTATATAGGCTTCAGTTTTCTCATCAGCAAAACAGGATGGGTAGGTGTGCAATTAAACAGGAGAACATCTGTGGAATGTAGCATCTAGCATGTAGCTGTGATAATATATTCTAATTTCCTTTCCCTTCTTTTAATTGTGAATCCTATAGCCTACTAAGTATGCCATGCTACCCCTGCCATCACTAGAACTGGCTACCAGGGAATTCTACTTTTGCTTATCTTCCCAATCTGAGGCAGTGTTTCCTTTATTGATACCCCCTGGCCTAGGGTTACCCACACCCAACAGACAGAGAGAGAAAATAGGCTTTCCACCAGCTTCAGAGTCCACTGATCTCATTCCTTCTGACTCTGGCTTCTGAATTTCTGCTTGCCTCTTTAAATCTGTGTCACCTGACTCCTTAGTTGAGCTGCCTAGTGTCAGAAAACAATGGGAATATTTTCACAATTCTGTGTGCTCTGAGTTTCCTGAGCAATCTCGGTTAGAGGGTGAGTGAATGGCAAACCAGAGTAGAAAGTAAAGGATAGTAAGTTACCTAGGAGAGATTTACAAGTTTCTCTCCCCTTGAGACGTATGTTCACATGTCAAGGTTCACCCTAGGACCTTCCTTTCTCTCCTTAGAGAAGATTTGCTCATGTTAGAAAGCAAAGGTTTTTCTCCTTCTCTCAGGAGGGAATAAAAGACAGCTGTGCCTCTGCTCCTACATGAGCTCCAAGATTCGTAATTTCATCATGATACCCTGAAGAAGAAATGGACATGGAAAACTGGCACTGACCCATAGATCATCAGTCTGCTGCTGACCTAGAAACCTTGTATTTGCTGTAAGGATAAAATAAATGAATGTAAATGTAAAATATTGTCTCCTAGACTTGATTTATTATCCACAGAAGTCTGAAATATCTTTCAGCTCCCCTCCTTCTTGACTGAACCTGGGTCATTATCATATGCAGAGTCATCTCAAACGAATGCATAGGAAACTTCAGTTTGATAGTACTTCCAACCCTTACTAGGTAGAATTGAATGGAAAAGAGAAAACTGCTTGTCTTGAGAACCTGAATTAAGACACTAAACTGAACCTTAAATTTTTACTTAGGGAGGATAGAGAACGTATATGTTGGAGGAAAGCAAAGGGTAAAAGAGACCCACAAAATTCACCAGCCACTATTAAACATAAGGTCATAACATAGCACTTCACTGTTTCAACTATTTGGGACTGCAAAAGGGTCTCTCAGGCCATTCATTCATTTTTTTGCCAGAGCAAAGGAACTTTCAACAAGATGATGGCCTCAATAACAAAAGAATTGGGAAGAACATGAGAATGATGCTTCTTGCCCTCCTGTACCTGGTTCTGCCAAGATGTTGGAAGCAAAACCTTCTCAACCCAATTGCAATCAAAATCTTTGGGTTTTGGCAGCTAACTTTTCTTGCATGTCTGTTTTATAATGACCTTTTTGAGTCAAAGCTATCTTCATTCAGAAGCGCCCAGGAAGTCAATCTCAGTAGAGTTAGATCAGAGACTTTCATGTTACTCTCAAAGTGCCCTGGATCCAGGTCACAAGATTAGTTGAGTCAATACAAATGAGCCACCGCAGCAAGAACATCAGTGAGTGAAACAAGCCAACCTATGGCTGATTCACTTCTTTTGATTCCAGTGAGTTCACGTTCCCAACACAGCCTTGCCCTCAGACTTTAGATTTCTGGTGCCCTTCAGAACAGTTCTTTATTGTCCTTTTGTATGAAGCCTAGAAGGACCTGCTACTCAGCTGAATTCCTTCTCTCCAGATCTGAAGAACAGTCTGCAGCCTGGCTGGCATCTCTTTGCAATCCACTCTATCTGATCCCACTTCTTACCGCTAAATCCAATCAGTTCAGCATTTGACAAAAGTGAAAATTTAGAAAATCTGGTTTGTTTGTTTGTTTTTTACCATTTCAAAGGCAGATTTATTGTATGGCTTTGGACAAGTCACTTAACCATTCTGATCTTTGTTCTTCTAAAACATAAGTAGCCAGTATGGAGTGTCAGCACATAGCTATCCATGTTTCCAGGAATAGTGTTCAGTATATTATGAAAACCCTCTGGAAGGGTTAGTTTATACAAAGCAGGAAAATTCCAACCTTGGAGAGGTTAATCCCCTCATAAAATAGCATAAAAATACAGAGACATTAAGTTTCAAGAGGATGGAATATGACTCCAGCTAGATGTCCTGCCCTAAACCTCAGACAATGTCATGAGCCAAAAAACCCTCAATAATTGAATGCATTTGGATAAGACAATGACAAAACCAATTTCCTGAATGATGGAAATTATATCTGCTCCCAATGGCTTTTCTCTGTCGCATGATGGCATAGAAACTAGCAGGGAAAAACTATTTTATTGGGTAATGGACCAGTATGCCAATATATCATCCTCACTATTTTTCAGTTTCTGAGGAACAATGGTAAAGATCAGTGCCCTGCCACTGTGAGGTGTCAACCCAGCTGAAAATACCAACACATCTAATTTACTAAAAAAGGCTTTTGGACGACAGGAATGATCACTGCTGCCCATGGAATTAAGGAGTTTGGCTGCAGGGAGGAGGACAGGCTGATTGTGCTTATCTTATCTGATTCTGTCATCATTGTAGAGTCAGCTTCTGCTGGGGGCCTGGAATCCTGGGAAACTGACCTCTTTGCTCTGGGGTTGCTAAATCACAGAAGCCTGTGGGCCCCACCCAGTTCACATAGAAAGAACATCTAGGCAGATTTTACTCTTAGTGGGTGAGAAACCGCAGAGAACAGCTTACATCCCAAATTAGTAGTGATCATGGTCTCTGTTCTATAAGGCACGCATCTACAAATTCCTGCACCCAGCTTCAGTGATTAGGCCAGCTTTACCTTTGAAGTAGACAGCAAATGGGTAATCCCATTTGCTTATACATATATTAGAAGAGTGTGCTGTGTTTAAGCACAGTGCAAGACTCTTTTATCGGCTGCTTTATAAGCCTAACATTCTCTTCCCACCCAGAATGGCCAGTTAATATACCAGGGCTAAATTTTGGGGGAATTACTCTACCATATGGAAGTAGCAAATGAAGAACATAAAAAGCAGAAAGAGCTAAGCCCGGGTGTATAGTGGTCTCAAATTCACTCATTATTCATATGAGTGTAAGAAACACAGGGAACAGGAGAAGGTCAGTGGGGTCCGTGGAGGCCATTCCTTTCCAATAAGCTCTTTTTTTCCTAGGGCAGCATCTAATTGCTTCTGTGTTGCTTACAGTTGGGCCTGGGATTCTGTTCCAAATATTTGTTACTCTCAGGGAGGGGGAAAAAAAAGTTGCTGGTGACTGTTCCGTATTTCAGTTTTTGAGTTTCAAATACTATTCAAGTACAGTATTATTGCTTTGTACTATAGTATAGTGTTGCTTGCAGACAAGGTCCTAAGCAGGGAGGGTTACAGATGAGCTTCAGTTCTACTTCCCAGGAGGCTCTTCTCCTTTCTGAGTGAGAGAACTAGCTACTTTTAACCCCAAGGTTTGTTTGTCATTTTCCACGGGGGATGTGCTACTGGAAAATAGTGGGGAATAGGGTCAGTCAAGTGGGATATTTTTTACAAAGAAAACATGCTCCCTGGTTCTCAGGGAAATAGAGGGGTAGAAATGGCCCGAGTATTATCTACTTTCCAATGACTATAGCTTTTTTTCCCCTTCCTTCCTTCTTTTTCTCCTTCCTTCTGCCTGTCCTTTCTTTTCTCACTTTTTTCTTTTTAATATCCAGAGCCCACTAGAATAAAGGTATCTTACCTTCTGGCTCTAAGGAGCTTTCCAGTCTCCTCAGATTAGCTATTGGCCCCAGCTTGCGGTTACCTTCAGGGATCTGGGAACCAAACCACAGTTAGCATCCCAACTTCTTGACACCAAACCTTTTAATGCCCAGAGACAGCCAAAATCAGCAGCTGCTAAAACTAGGGAAATGAGAAAAATAAAACTCTTACTCACCCTCAAGCAACTTGTAGCTTGCTAAGAAGGCAATATTCATGCATATCAAGCAACTAATCAAAAATACGTAACAGTATATTGACACATTGTGAATAAGCTCTGAATTCACTAGTGCCAGGCCAATCTAAGCTCAAGTTTTAAAGTTCAACAATCAGCAACTAGAAAGTTTTATAAGCTCTCCTACTTTTCTATACTCAAGGACTTCTATGCTAATACATTAGTCCTTAAAAGATGGTTAAGAGCTACACATTCTTTGTCTAGTGAATAGAATTACCAATACTCTGGGTTCATAACTGTATTTCTTTAACCCTTAAGATTCCCTAGGGGGTTTCACATCCTGGAATATGCAAGGTAACTCTGTTATAAAACAAAAGAATTTTTCCTTTGTGTGTATGTGTGTATTTCAATGCATCAAGTAATGAAATCATGCATTTGGGTTGTAATTCTCTCCTTCCTGGGACTGAACATTAATCATCCAATTAGCTGGTCTGTTCTTCCTCAAAGTAAAGTGTGGTCTATTGAAAGCATTATTCTCACACATGGGGGCTAGACAACTTTTGACCACTATGGGCTGCCTGCAAAACAGAATGGAGTTTTCAAAGGGTGCTATTCATTACCTCACAAATCCTACAGTATGTCTGCCTTGGGTTTATTAGTTCAGTGAAATTTTGATGGATTTAAAAATATATATAAATAACTGTAGTAAAAAGCCTGTGCAGCTCTCACCCATGCTTGAACTGAAGAAACTAATAGGCACAAGTGCTATGAATACAAACACACCCAACCGGCTTTGTTTGGTGGGATGATGATTTCACTCTTGGAAGCCCTGCTACTCTTGGATATGCTTTTTTTTTTTTTTCTAATATAACAATTTTACATTCAAAAAGGTAGAGCAGAGTGGCTTCTCACTGACTTCTACCTCTATAAATACCTACATAAAGGGAAACAGCTTAAGTTAGAAATAAAACATATAAACCTCAGTCCAAGCAGAGAGATTTATGAGTTTTCTGATGAATTTTATCCCAATAACCTTGATCAAGCAAAGAATGCCAAGTAATATTTACGGACCTCATGTCTCAGTTGAGATATTAGAGAAAGGAAGATAGACAAAAGAAACTTAAAACTAACAAGAAGAAATGAGGAGGAAGAGTAAATGGCAGAAAAATTAAGGGAAGTGAGAAATAAGAAAGCTCTGCGTATATTAAGGAGTTGTCAAAAGCTAATGATTTCCTAGATTCGGGCTCCATTAAACGCCCTGTATTTGGGGGCAGGGATGAGTTGTATGAAGTAGCTTAACTTCCAAAACCTTGCGGCCAATTCAAGAAAAAAAAGCTTACCTCTAACTTGTTACCACTGGAAGTAACCTCAGAGAACTTCCAGTTCAAACTCACAATTTATAAAATGAAGAAATTATGACTCAGATAAATAAAGTGGTATTTCAGTGATCTCTCAGCTGATCAGTAGAATAGCTGAGCCTAAAATCCAGATCTATTTTCTAACCCATTCTCATTTCCACTAAACATCATTCTGTATGTTTGCTAGACCTGTATAATCTCCCGTCATATTGTGCATGCCCCTTGCCCTTCATCCTCTATTCCACACACACAAACACACACACACAGACACACACACACACATTTGTGCTATGTCTTTGTGAATATAATATAGTATGAATATGAGTTATTCATCAGTTAGAATAGATAGGCAAGAAATAGCAGGGAATACATGTTGACAGCAAGCTGTTTGCTTGCAAACTGAATGCAAATATGGTGTAGCACTTCCAACTATTACATACACTTGAATGTGACCTTTAGGAAACTCCTGATGAAATTCACAGGGTTTCATATCCCTGAATCCACCAAATCATTGTACAACATAAATCCAATTGTATGATCCCACCCCATGGGGAAGCAAGAAACTCTGGGGCTGGTGTCACTTCCCAGTGGATTCATTTTTTGGAAGCAACTCTGTTGCTGTCACCTGACTGGGAAATAGCCGTTTGTTTCGTTAGAATTTTTTGATTCAATGGGCTTCTTCCATGTCATATAACATATATATAAACTCTTCCACTTCAAGCACTTTATTACCTGGGCACTAATCACCCCTCACCTATGCCCACCCTTCCAACCTTTCACTCCACACACACACACACTCCACCCTTTGTTTCCACCTTCAGCTTAAAGGCAAACCTTATTAACTTACTATAAAAGGCCAAAGTGAAATAGGGAAAACATATTCACTTTACATTTTCTTAAAGGGGGCTTGTGTGAGGCAATGTCCTCTCCTTCCAATAAACCTTGCTGTCACTGACAAGCCATAAGAAGAACTTAAGCTTTAGATGTTTTCTTAATAGAAAGGATGGATCTATAGAACTCAAACTAGATGTGTGGCATAGTGGATCAGGTGAAATGGTGTCTATCCTTAGATAGGAAATATTTAATGATAGAAGAACAAATGTTCAAGTCAAGAATTACAAAGACATGTATGACTGCTATACAAAAGAAAAAAGCTTCAGTTTAAGACAAAGAAGGACTTTCTAATGAAAAAGAGTTCCACGCTCCCTCTCTCTCTCTCTCTGGTATGTCAATGGAAATTGGATGACCATCTATTTATATCCCCAACAGGAATTCATCAAAGAAAGGCTGGACCAGGGAAACCTGAATCCTTTCTAATTCTCCACACAGAGCGCTATGGAAACTCTTCTGATGGTTGGTTGAGAACAGGGAAACATTATACGGGTTTAGAAAAGAAAAAATATAACTGATCAACATAGGGATCAAGAATGGGTCTATCTGCAGGTTGTTCCAACCAACTGTGGAAGTGATCCTGTAGTTCACGGTGTACATTGTCACTAATAAAACCTTCAAAGACCTTCTGTAAAGAAAAGATAAGAATGTTTTATAAATATCACACCAAAAATGTATTTGGATTTTTAACTCTATGAGCATACTTGAAGTTTTTTCTCCTAAGTAGTATAGATAGCAACTTTTAACATAAAATTAGGAAAACAGTAGTTTCTACTTCATAGAGGGCGTGAGGTTTAAACAAAACAACGTGTGAAATCTCCTGCACAGATCACCTAGCACAGTGAGTAATCAGTAAGTGCTAGCTATCTTATTTACAGCCGCTATTAATTTTCTCAATAATGCATTTCTTGATAGATATTGTCTTGGTAAATAAGTTACACTAAGTCAGAAGTATCCTGATTCCAAATTTCCAGAGCTGCACAATATGGTCTGCATTATACTTCAGAGCCTACAGCACTGAACACAGTTATCATGCAGATGTTGAATGCTCATTCATGTAGCATGTTGGTATCAGTGTCTACCGGCATGACCTAGTGGGCATAAACTTAGAGGGAAGTTGCAACAAAAGCAAGTAATCAAAAGACTCCATTTTTCTGTGAAAGTAAATAAAATCTGATTGGTGGAATGAACAAAGCAAGTAGAAAGAATTGGGTCAAGAGAGACTTTATACATATATTTTTTGTGTGACTAATTTAGTGGGTTAGTGTTTCTTTGCAACTTGTGGTGTTTTCCAGCTGGCTTGAAGAAATAGAGAATTTAGGGCCAAAACATTTGATGAGTTTCCTAATGAAAAAAAAATTAAACAATAGCTGCTCTGGCTTTTTGTAAGCAAAGATGTCTGAATTGAACTCCAGGAAGAAAAGGAGCTATCACCCTAGTCTATATTTATGAATCTATATGCCAAGATTAAGGTGAACACCCCCAAAGTCCCATGTTACCACTCTTTTCTACCACCATACCCGATCAAAAACAGCAACATACACTGAGAGGAATTCTTTAAAAGCTACCTCAAAAAAGCAAGCAATAGACACTTTTTACCCACAAAAGCACAGAAGGCACAAATTGCCCAAAGGCAAATGCCCGGCTGCCTCCCATCCCAAACACGAGACCGAAACACTGGAAAGCTTAGATCCTTGGTGGACTGTGGACTCCTCAAACTCCTTGGATGACATAATCTGATTTGAGAAAAAACACACTCAACTGACCATCTAGCAGAGGTCTCTATTCCAAGGGTTAGCCTTGCAGTGACCATCTGTATTTCTTCAGCTGAAGTCTGCACAAAGAAAAACTGAAAAGTTGATATTCTAAAGCCCAGCTCTTCCTGGACATTAATTTCTAGTGACTATCTGGGATGTTTAGTTGAAGTATTCCTAGGCAGAGAAAAGTTAAAACAGTCTCCAACTCTCATCACTTCTCACATCACAAATTCCAATGGATCATAATTACCCAAAATAAAAATGACCCACAGGACATACAACCATGATTTCTCTTTCAGCATGAAATTATCCAAACGAAGACCACAGAGCACATGGCAACTTCTCAGTGGCACATTCTATGACTGGGATATGAGTCTCAGCCTAATGCAATGACGACATCAGACCCATGGAAGGTGGAATTCTAAGACGGCCCCCAAGATCTGTGTCCCCAGGCGCACATGTCCTGTACAATCTCCTTCCTTTCAGAGTGGCCAGAACCTATGAATATGATGGGATAGTCATTCCTCTGTTAGGCTATATTCTACAAGATTCCATTTTAATTGACCAGAGAGAGATTCTCCTACTTGCTTTGAGGGAGTAGGTTCCCATATTGTGATAAGGCCACATGTTTTAGACGTGAGTCGTTGACTTATTCTCTGAGAACAATCCCTGGATAACTGCATGGAAGAAAACAGGAACTCATTTCCTATAACCACAAGAAGCTGGATTCTGCCAACAGCATGAATAAGCTTGGAAGAGAACCCTGAGGTCCAGATAAAAACCAAACCAGGTGACACCTTGATTTCAGCCCTTTGAGACCTCAAGCAGAGGATCCAAGGAAATGATGAAATAATAAACATCTGTTGTTGGAAGTCACTAAGTTTGTGGTAATTTGTTACGTAGCAGTAGGATACTAACACTTAGCCTGAGCTGAGTGGCTGTAGGTTCTCATTTACCCACTGTGTGACCTCAAGCAGGTTAAATAACTCTTTTGAGCTTCAGCTTTCTCATCCCTCAAGTGTGGATTATGAATATATCTGCCTACTTGCTCCCAGATATTTCAAGTGAGGGTGAAAATAGATATTACTGGTGAAAGTATTTTCAAATTTTATAGCATTAATCAAGTAATTGGTAATGTTAAGTAAAATATTTGAGGTCTGTCGAAATCCAAGGGTCATGGCGGAACTCCAAACTGACTCCAGCTTTTCAAACCAGGGTGGGGTTATAAGAGCTTCTGCTCCCATGACCTATCTACAAGGCAAATGCCAGAAGATATAAACATGGAGAAAATTTTATATTTCATAGAAATTGGCAGAGCCTCGCCTGCAAATGATTAACTTATGCACACTATATACATTTCCTGTGACAAGTGCTACGTACTACGGATAAGTACGCAAACAAAATCCAAGTTCTCTTTTTAAGCCAGTTAATGTCCCTAAGAAGACACAGATAAGAGATGAACAATTACCAAACTGTGTGAAAATGTTATACTAGTTGGTAGGCAGACTGCTGGTTGAGCACAGGCTGCAGGGAGTTAGAGCACCTGCTTGTCACAGGGATGTGCAGAAGGGTTTCCCAGAGGAAGATGGACTTGTGTTGATTGCTAAAGGACAAGTAGGGATCATTAAGCAGAAAAGATGGGTAAAGGGCTAAGGAAGAGGCATTTCATGGGAAACAGTTGGATTTAAAACCCAGAGGCTTCAAACCATGACCCTTTTATGGGACAAGCACGTTAGTGCCATCTGGCTTTATAAAAGAGAACAGGAAGGTACACGAAAACATTAGAACTGACAGTTAGGGAAAAAGCAGACCATAAAGGACCTTGTATGCTTTAATGAAGAATTTGATATTTATTCTGAAGGTGATAAGGAGCCCTTGATGGCTTTTAAACAGCTCCGCATTGAAGAACGTTAACTTGGGCAGCAGTGTGGATAATGGATTAGAAAGAAGAAAGAATTCAACTTGAGGGTAATTGGAGTAATATACCTAAGAAAAGATAAAGACATTCATGCAGAAGAAAAGAGGGATGAATTTAAGAGCACCAAAAAGGTGGGACAAGCAGGATTTAATTGGCCAGATTTAATCTGGGAGAGAAAGAGGTCATGTTGAATCCAAGGTTTGCAGCATGAGCAACTGTATAATTGTGAGATCTGTGAGTACTCCAGGTCTCATCCTGATAGAGGAGGAAGAATTTAAGTAAGAACATCAGGAGCATCCCAAAGCTGATCAGGAAGTAGTAGGAGGAAATTATTAATACAGGCAGACAATTTATGTCCTAGATCCATTTAGGCAAACATTGCCCAGGGATTTTTCCTCACTAATGAAAGAATAGTTTGGGCAACAAAAGTCGTGTCTGAGACTAGAACAAGACAGTAGTTCTGGGTCTGATGTCTTAAATGGCTAGGCCTATAAGTAGTCATTAAGAGCATCAAAGACAATTTCTTAATGGGTGGATGTTCAACTTGCTAAAACTTAACTATAAGTGTTTAGAAGGCAGACTTAGGCATTTGTTAATTGACTGGCTTACTGGTCTAGGAGTTGAAGGTAACCATGGCTTAGTTCAGCACATATGCACACTTTTAAAATGAATTATAAAGTGTCTCAGATAACAAAAGAAATCTTAGTCTTCAGAAGTTCCTCTTGCAGTCAAGAAGGCGAGAGTGGTGAGAGCTCAGAAGGCCTGTCAACATTTTTTTATTCCATTTTTAGAACCACATCATTTAAAATGATGTTTTCAATTATTCCTGCTTTTAAATTGAATTTCGCCTGGAAATAAATACACCACACCACTTTTAGTGCGAACACCCTGTAAAAGGCACTGAGAATGTGGAATCGATTTTTAGACTGTGCACGAGGCCTTATATTCGCCAAATCACACCACTCCTTTTAAAACATATCTCAAGTTGGTCATCTGCTGGGGAGTGTTGCTTCATTCTTATTGATCTTCCTCCAACCCACCAGCACTAACCCGAATCCACCTTTCTCAGTGTGCAGTGTTGTGGTTTTTGTATTTATCTGTCCTCTTGCCTATGCTTTTGTCTGAATATTTTGTATTTTTTCCATCTCTATTTGATTGGGCCCAACCTCCTTCTTTACTAAGTGCCCCAAGAAACATGATATGATCCTATCAACGCAGCTAATCAACTAATCCTTATTTCTTATTATTCAAACAATAAGCAAACACACAGAATTACTACAACTGAGAGGATATTTTCTATCATAACTTTCTTGTTTGCCTGTCACCTAGAAATTGATGGTTGCCTTCTTTTCCCCTTCCTTCTCCTTTATAGTGGGTGAAGGGGACACGATGTATACTAGTCTGTTCTCACACTGCTAATAAAGACATACCCAAGACTGGGTAATTTATAAAGGAAAGAGGTTTAGTGGACTCACAGTTCCACATGGCTGGAGAGGCCTCACAATCATGGTGGAAAGTGAATGGGGAGTGAAGTCACATCTTACATAGTGGCAAGCAAGAAAGTATGTCCTGGGGAACTCCCATTTATAAAACTATCAGATGTCATGAGATTTATTCACTACAATGAGAATAGTGGAGGGAAACCACACCCGTGATTCAATTATCTCCACCTGGCCCTGCCCTTGACATGTGGGGTTATTACAATTCAAGTTGAGATTTGGGTGGGGACACAGCCAAACCGTATCACAGTGACAGAAATCTTCTTGGATTTGGAATAGGAGACTTCCAGTTCCCACAAGAGCTAATGGACTCAGCTTAGTGAGAGATTGACATGCTGGATCAGCAGCAGAGATTGTATGGCAACTTGAGGGGGCGCTATGGAAATGGGGACTGAGAGGAGGCCGTGCAGCACCTACCAGTGGGTAAACCTAAAGGGTGAGGATTAATAGAGGGGAACAAACAAGCAGTCTGATTGGTACCTAGGAGAATCAGACCTAAAACAGAATCAGATTTGAGGAAATTGTTAATGCAATCAGAGTTAATGCAATAAAGAGCAATATCTGTTGCAGCTCACCCTTTTACATAGTCCCCAGATTTTTTTGACTGATGGAATTAACCCAGGGAACACCACTGGGGGGCTCAGCTCCACTCTGTGTCACTCTGGGAACTGTGCAACCAAGAATAAACTAGGATTTTGTTTTTGCGTAGCAGGTGAGGAAACACAGGCTGTGGTCTCTTGCAAAAGTCTGTGACTTTTCTCACTTTAATCCTATTTTCATTAAAGTCAACACAAGCCAGCCAGCAAGTGCTTGCTCCCCAGATCACTACCTGATCTTACTTTCAGTTTAGGATTCTTTATCATGTATTGCATTTGCTAACTCACCACTGAAATTTGCCTAGAAGATGTATTTATTCAATAATCAGTGGATTGACTTTGTGGGGAGGGGAAGGGGGTGGTTAGAATGAAGAACGAAGTTAATCGACTGATGCTCCATCTATAAGATAAAAAATGATCTGACTCTTCCCTACCTGGACTCACTAGCAATTTATGATCAATCACCCTCCTTCTTCCTGATAGTTCAAAAGCATACAAACTTGCTGTGTGTCCTAGTTTGTTTTCCAGGATTCAGTAGTTTCCCTTTCCAAAGATTTCCTTTCTGAGTGGTTTTTCACAACTTTGGAAACTCAGCACAACCTGGCTTCACCTGGCTTAGGCCTTTCTCTAGGAACCTTTTCTCCAATGCTAGACAAGGGGAGACCATGCTGGAAAGCCCAACTTATATAAGCTCATTTGACAAATATGATACATGCCAAAAACCTGACATTTCACAATACAAACTTTTTATGAAGCAGCTTTATGTTTCAAACACAATAAGGCATTCAAAGAGCATGTGATCATCCAACCACCTCCCCAAGTCCCAAGGGTTCAGTTAAAAATATATGGGAAAGAAACAAAGCACTTTCACATAATGGTATCAAACCCACTGTTTTCCCTTTGATTCCCTCCTTTTCCCTTCTGTGTTCTCCAGGGTGGTCAGGCTAGTACCCTTAGAGATTCACTTCACCACTACTCCCAGGGGCTGGGGGGAAAACCTCTCCTTTGATCTGAAAACAACTACATTGAAAGTCCTCTCTGGGGTAGGAGTATTGTGACACATAGCCATTATCTCAGATGAGATAATGAATGAGAAAATGCTTTGTAAACCATAAAGTTTTAAATGTTAGTGATCGTTTTATTATTGTTAGTAATTTATTTATTAGAATTGTTACTACTAATGATAAAATGAATCACCAAGCTTCCTGCTCCAGAGTTCCAATTTAGGCTGCAGTGCCTCAGGAAGATATGGAAGCTGCAAGAGACACGGGGAAGAGAGATGTTATCCATCACTGCTTTAGTCTCTTGGAAGAGTTGCTGTGTTTACGAGAGTTCATCAGGACCTCCGCTGACTCTAAAAGTAACTTTCCACTGTTGAAGTTATTCGTCATTATCATTGATAACGCACCCACGTATCCACACTGTGAAAGAGGCTTTTACTGCTGAAGTCTCCAGTAATCCCACTGAGAAGATCATCTCTCCCACCCAAAAGGCTTAAGGACTTGGCCACCTTCCCCTAGCTCCCCTATCCCCCTCCAGGTGGCCTTTTCTCAGACCAGATCCCTACCCCTAATGTTGCCCAGCCATCTCCTCATAACTTGGAATCACCCACAAAGAAAAAAGAAAAAAAAAAAAAGATTATGATTCAAGTGAAAATCTGAGTAAGCAAATGTATTTGGCATTGAGAGCTATGGAAAGTTGAGTCTGGAGCCAGAGGTGGTTACCCGACTCTGCCCATAATTTTGCACAGACAGCTCCATGCAGCGATCTTGGTGGGTTCAGAGGAGTGTAATGGGAAGCACTCTAGAATTTTTACTTTTGAGTATTTTTCAACAAATAAGTCCATTTAAGCTGCAATGGAAAGGACTGCCAACTACTTTCTCAACCAGGACTTTACAAAGAAAGAAACAGATAAAGAATAATTTATAATGATCAAAGATAAACTGAAAAATTAGTCTGGAAGAAATACAATTTCAGGTCTAGAAGTTGGGTTTTATGAGAGAGATAATCCTCCCCTATTTCTTCCAGGCCTATAAATGCAATTTTTATTTTATTTTTTCCCCAGCCCTGCAGTTGCCACAAAGGTTGAACATGAGGAAGATTATTGCATTTATTTTCAGGGGGTACTTGGCAATAACATTCTGCAGACCCACCTTGTGCCATTTAGGAGCACAAGTTGGAAACGCCCTTCCAGCTGCTGCTTGTCAATGTATCTAAACTTCTACTTTTACAATCTAATGAAGACCCAGCCCTTCTCTATCTGGGGACAATCTGTGAGTTTGGTCAGTGTCTGCCATTTTATGTCTGATGCTCATTATCAACAATTAACACAAAGAACAGATAGCATCTTGGCTGTTTCTGCCTTAGGGAAAGAGCAATTTTTTAATGGCAATTAGAATATAAAACTTAATACCGGGGCGGAGCAAGATGGCCGAATAGGAACAGCTCCAGTCTCCAACTCCCAGCGCGAGCGACACAAAAGACGAACTAAAACCATTTTATCTCAAAAGATTAGTGACATTTATACAAGCCAACTGACAACATACATCAAATGTTCATCATCACTAGGGCCTACAGAGAAATGCCATCAAACAACTCCCAAATGACGCATAAATCTCAACGTTACGCCCAATGGCGATCAATTAAAAAAGTCGGAAAAAACAGGTGCTGGAGAGGATGTGGAGAAAATAGGAACACTTTTACATCGTTGGTGGGATTGTAAACTAGTTCAACCATTATGGAAAACGGTATGGCGATTCCTCAAGGATCTAGAACTAGAGTTACCATATGACCCAGCCATCCCATTACTGGGTATATACCCAAAGGTTAATAAATTAATGCTGCTATAAACAGACACATGCCAGTATGTTTATTGCAGCACTATTCACATAGCAAAGAATTGGATCAACCAAATGTCCATCCAGTGAAAGATTGGATTAAGAAATGTGGCACATATACACATGGATACTATGCAGCCATAAAAAAGGATGAGTTATGTGTCCTTTGGTAGGGACATTGGAATGCGCTGGAACCAATCATTCTTAGCAAACTATCACAAGAACAGAAAACAATACACGCGCTGTTCTCACTCATAAGGTGGGATCTGAACAAATGAGATCAGCTTGGACCGAAGGAAGGGGAACATCCACACCGGGGCGTATCATCAAGGGGAACGGGGGCAACAAGGGGGGAGGGACTGCATTGGGGACAGTTTACACCTGTGTCACATGACCGAGTTGACTGGGTGCAGCAGCGACAT